GCCGTCTTCAACTAACAGGCCATGAAGTTAGAAATCGTGCAACACCGCATGCGCATGGTTGTCCACCGTCCCACATCGGCCATTTTTATTGTTTGTTTACTATGCTAATGAGCCGGTAACCAAACAAATTGCACTGATATTTGCTGATATTATTGATAGTTATTTATTAAAGGGTTAAAAGGTTGTTTCTGTTGTTTCCGTAGAGGATATTTAAATTGTTTGTGATACGTAATTTCCAATATTTCGCCTGTAAACTAGTGATAAAGTGGCAAGAACCAAGTGGTGATTTTGTTGTGCGGGGGTGTTACACTTTGGCGCTTTTCTTGCTTTAGTTTTAAGTTACAGTGGACTATTTTACGGCACAATATTGTGTTTTTTCTTAGTTGTTTAATTCTATGTCGTTATAAGTACTGGAAATTATTTAAAAATATAGTGTGCTTCTGTAGTGTGACAAAATTAGCATTGTTAATCAAATTTCAAATGATAGAAAAATGGTTGCTAAGGTATTTGTAAATCATACTGAATCAACTTTTAAAGACTTAAACTGGATGTTACCTTTTGATTTAAAACTAAGTAGTTGGTCCCAACTAGAAAATGTATTAATAAGATACAAATATCAGGTAAATATCGATCAATCGTTTACCTTTTTAATAGAAAAAAGTGTATACTTTTTGAGTGAAGCTTCTAAAAAACTGGTTTCAGACGGCAGATAGTTTAGACGCGGAGGATGGTACAGAAAGTAGTAATAATATAAATAATATATTGCAAATTTTGATTAATCAAGTAAAATTACTTATTTTAAAAAAAATACGGTATTCATCTGAAACCATAATTATGTCATTTATGTTGTATGCAATTTCTCCAAGTGCATACGATGTAATGAGAGATTATTTAAGTTTGCCAACTAAAAGATCTCTCCAATATCTCTCATCTACCCTTGATGTTGCCCCAAATACTTATCCAAATATCACTGATAATGACAGAAATACTAATAATTACCTGAAATATGTATCTGATTCTTTAACACCCCATGAAAAAATTGTTGTTCTTTTAATTGATGAAATTTATGTTAATAAAAGATTAGACTATAGAGGAACAAATTTAATTGGTGTAGCTTCTAATGGCAATTCATTAGCTACAACTATTTTAGCTTTTATGATATGTTCGGCATCTGGAAAATTTTGCGAAATTGTCAAGTTATTACCAGTACATAATATTATTCGGTACCGAAATGGTACCAGTCACAAAAAATGTTATTTCTTTTAATACAAACATGTGGCTTTACAGTTTTAGATATAATAACAGATAACCATAGAATCAATCGGTCAATTACGATTTTGTCCATAAATTTAAAAATATAATAAATAATTGGCGAAATCTAAAAAATTTAAATAACATTTGTTATCTCAATTTTGACAATTTCAATTAGATTAAACATGGAAAATAATAAAGAAAGAAATCTGATTATAAAAAAAGCATACAAACTCAACCATAAAACAGTTTATCCTAACAACCTCGAAAGGCAAAAATTTTATTTAGCAGACAATATATGTGATTACTCTACTGTTTCTTCTTTAAAAGAAAATGGTTTTCATGACACTGCAAGCTTTTTGGAAATTATAAGACATTGGTGGGATATTGTAAATAACACAAGTGTCATTAAAAGAAATAAGTGGTGTCAACCTATTTCAGGCATAAATGAATTTCGCATTGAATTTTTTAAAAAGTTTATAACATGGTTAGATACTTGGCAAAAACTTAACAACAATGGTCGTCTTACAAATAGGCTTGCCAGATCTCCGGGTTTGACCTGGAGTCTTCGGGTTTTGATGGTACTCTTCGGGCTCCGGGTTAACATGTCATTTCTCCGGGTTAACGCCCTACCCCCGAAATCCATTTCCCCAAGAGTCATATTCCTTTTTTTTAGACATCGATTTGTCTGATTGCAGAACTTTTTTAGGATTAGATATTTTTTTTAAAACTCAAATTCCTCAAAAAAAAATCCAATCCAATCCCAAAATTTTCAAAAAACCTTTTTTTTTAGACATAAATTTCTCCGGGTCAGTCATGAAAAAAATCTGGTAACCCTACTTACAAATGATACCTATTCAGCACTTCGTCATAGTACTTCTGTTTTGTTAGAAATAATTGAGTACCCTTTTGAAATGTTTGCAATATCATACATTACCCTGGTAAATTTACAACTGAAAAATTAGAAAAAAGATTTGGTAAATACAGACTATTAGGTGGTAGCAATTATAATATCACTTGATGAAATAATTAATGCAGAGAAAAAAATTAGACTTAAACATATATTTAGAAAGGCTTCATGAAATAAATTTTCACTTTCTGAAATCCAAAAACATACTGAAAAGTGCTGCAATGAATCTGATCTTGATTGGGACATTCCCAAAAATATTGAGAGCGACAACTTTTCACATATACTGGAAACGGAATATTTAAATGAGTACCAAATAGAAGAATCCGCTCAAATTTACATATCTGGTTATGCTTCATTCAAAATATCTAGAAAACTAAACTGTAATATTTGTATTTCTCTAATTACTGAAAGTAATGGAACTTTTATATAGAAAATGAGTATCTTAATTATTTACAACGCGGTGGTTTAAGTGTTTCTACAGACAAAAACTGTCGTATTTCATATTTGTGCCATCTTTGAAAAAATTATAAATGATTCTATATTTTTAAGACTTTTATTGTCAGTGTATCTGTGGTAAAGAACATAAAAATATTCTTATTATGCTATGCTCTATTTTTCTAATGATTTACTTAACGATTATATCAAAAAGAAAAATAATCAACGTAGTACCGAAAAGGGCGAATCAAAAAATAGGAAAAGGAAACTAAATACTTTCAATAGATAATAAGTACCAAAAACAATTCCAATTACCAGACTGTGACATCAAGAAGTATGTACCTCCTAATTCTTCACCTTTTATTTATTAATTCCTTTCAAAAAACAGCCGAGCCCAATATTATTGTTATGAATAAGATAAAAATGCATCTTATTAAAATAATAATATAGGTAAAATAGACTCTTAGAATCGTAGGATATGAGAGCGTGTACTAATTCGGTTTTTATAACCATAATTTTTTGAAAAAGTATTTATGACAAAAAATTCATCAAAAAAACTCTACCATAAGCTCGCAATTTATGATGAGTGACAGATCTCAGACAGTCTTAGTTTATCTGTTCATTTACCGGGGGAGAATATCTTGTCCCTTACCTGAAAAATGGACTAACCTTTCTTGGAACTATGAAGAAAAACAAGAAAGAGATACCTCCTGAATTCCTACCAAGCAAATCCAGAGAAATAAACTCGAGTCTTTTCGGATTTCAACATGATTTTTGTCTGGTGTCGACTATTCCTAAAAAGAACAAAGCAGTGATTTTTCTATCAACGGCGCATGACACATCTGATATAGATGATATAACCAGCAAGACTATCATAAATTTAGATTACAATGCTACCAAGGGAGGCGTTGATACAGTAGACCAGATGTGCGCCTCTTATTCAACTTCTAGGATAACAAGACGGTGGCCCCTTGCTCTGTTTTTCAGACACCTAGATATTGCTGGAATAAATGCAAATATTATTTTTAAGTTCAATAATGTCGAGAACAGAGACAGAAGACGACAGTTTCTGAAAAATCTTGCCTTAGACCTGATGAAGGAACATCTGAAGGAAAGAGCTGGGATTCTAAGTCTTCCTAAAGATGTACAAGTATTCTTGGAAAAGTATAAGGAGAACCATTCATCTGTTAGAGAGATGTAAAGTTTGGTATTTGTTACATGTGTGGCAAACATAAAAATAATAGAACAAAAATAAAATGTCAAAAATGCGACAGGAATATTTGCAAAAAACACAGCACTATATCAGTTAATGTTTCGCTTGTAACAATGAGCAAATGGAAGTGGATTAGTTTTCTTAAGTAGCTATAATTTGAATTTTTCCATAAATTAAATTAAAAACTAAGTAGTATTTACTATCTATTCTGTATGATATTGTAGTAATTAATGTTAATATAAAGAAATATTGATTTGCGGTGCAAAAGCCGCAACGAGCCCGTTCGTGCAACTCTTAATAGCGCGCCCGCCGAAGGGTTAAACTTAATAGTACAAACTGCTCTATTAGAAATATCACAGGTGCAATCAAAGGTAAAGGCAATCGTCGCATTTTTTAAAGAAGTCCTCTAGCAACTGCAAAATTAAAAGAAAAACAAAAACAAATGGGTTACAAGGAATTAATATTAAAGCAAGACGTTGTAACTAGATGGAATTCCACGTACGAAATGTTTGCTCGAATTCTAGAAATAAAAGAGCCATTAATCACAACGATAGCACTTTTAGAAAATAGTTGATAATGATTGTAAAGCGTTTCAAGGAAATTACAGTGGAAATAAGCGCGGAAGAAAACGTAACAATATCCAAATTATTAGTATTAAGCAAAGCCATGTTACAGCATTATCAAAACCTCCAAAATGACGATCAACCATTAGACAGTAAAAATTTTGCAACAACATTGGTAAGTCAAATACAAAAACGATTTCTAAATATTGAAGATAATTTATTTCTTGCCGAAGCTACATTTTTAGACCCTCATTTTAAAAGACAGGGGTTTTCAAACGACAATACTTATAAAAAAGCCAAAGAATCCGTTGAAAAGCTTTGCACTGGCGTTATACTCCAAGAAGAGGAAAATCAACTTGAAGTAACAGATAATCCAAAAGCAGATACAGTCCAAAAATTTTCTATTTGGAGAGAATATGACAAAAAAAAACAAAGGATCAATTTACGGGTAATAAAAACAGCTGCAAATATTGTAGAAGTCAATCAGTACATTCAAGAGCCACTTTTAAAAACATATGAAAATCCGTTGTTGTGGTGGTACAAAAGGCAATCTATATATCCACGTTTATTTCAGACAATGCAAAAAAGGTTGAGAATTGTAGCCACTTCGGTGCCAGCAGAGCGGGTTTTTTCTAAAGGGGGTCTAACGATTGAAACGCTCAAGATGAAGTGCAAAGGAAGTGTCACATACATTTTAATGCAAGACACTTACACATTTAAATAACTTTTTTAGTAACAAATAGTAGAACTTTTTTTTTAGTTCTGCTATTTGTTATTTGTCGTTTTATTTATTTGTTGTTATTTTGCCACTTAAAGTACTACAATTATTTTATTTTATGATATGCCAAAGACTCAGAGATTTTATTTTAGTTAATTATTGGTTGTGTTGCGTTTGTTTTGTTTTATTTTTGCATTGATATTTATTATTTAATATTTATATTGTTAATTTTATAGTGTAATAAAATGTATTATATACTCTTTTAATTTGGTGGAAAAAAGGATTTATTAGTTTTTTTCACAAAATATCCGGTATCAGTTCATACTGGGATTCGTATCAATTCTAACTACCAACACACACTAACTTGACTGTTAATTAATTGGAATTACATTATTTGCTTAATTTCGAACTTCTCCATTAGACAAATAATATGGTTTAAAATGATTCAAATTGCAAGGAGCTAAGATTCACGCTGTAAATTTCTCAAATTGATAGATTTGATACTCGCTTATCTAGCACCAAAATCTAGTTTTCTGGCAAAAACTGGACCTACAACACTTGTGAATGAAGTAACAATATGTATATACAGGGTGAACCGTAAGTATTAGTACGTAGTTTATGACGTCAACGTAATGCAATCGGATCAAACTTACCTCAGTCCAACTGACATTTAAATTTAAAATCTAACAATCAAAGTGCGACCAACCCAAATAAACCCAGAAATTTCAGATAATCCTACTGTTTCTGAAGCTGTAAACGAATCACCGGTAGTGCAAGCTCTCAATTTTCGAGATCAGGATACTGCGGTTTTGGTTGTTGCGTGAGAACAAGCATCTGGGCACCGTCTGCTGCACCAGCAACCCGGCACACATGCTGTAACAATAGAGGAATATACCCCTACTAAACTACTACACGCCGTGTCTCCTTTAACAAAGCTTCTTGTACCATTTAATAAAAGGATAAAACGTGGTGTCACCGTACTAACTTCAACAGATAATATAAAGAAACGTGAAGCAGCAAATAGAAATAAAAATAAGAAAGTGCCGCAATGAGAATCAAAAATAAAAAGTAAGCAAAACAATGAAAAAATAAAGTCAAGATGTGGAACTAAAGCAATTAGTAGCAGAGAAACATGGAATGAAAGTGATGATAAGCCATTGGTATAGAATTAAAATCCATGACGGATTTTCGGTGCTGCATTGCAGGGGTAAACTGTTTCAATAGTTCAATGGATTAAAGAAGAGGCGAATATGTTGTGGTGACTAAAACAGCATCAAATTCAACTTCGGCGAATGGAACAACAAGCGCTGCGACGTTACAATCGAATTAGTGCTAGGGGGGACACTCCAATACAATACGTTGACCATGTGTGCGTGCAAGCTTTTACGGCAGCGGCCGCCTGGATGCTACGGCGGTGGTAGCCCGGCACGGTAAACCAGATCTTTTCATTACATTCACCTGTAACCCCAGATGGCTAGAAATCTCGTCAAACTTAGAGCATAATCAGAAGTGGGCCGGACCTAGTTGGTCGGTCTTCCACGATAAGTTCTTAGAATTCATGGATGATATTGTCTCATAATTTGCCGCGATCCCTCCCACTTGGACGACTCTGGCATCGCAGAACGCTAGTTTGCCCTGATCGCCCCTACGCGGTGCTGGTAAACAAACAGAGGAATGCCCGGTATCAAGGCGCGTCTAGAAAGTGGAGGAATTGTTCAGGAACTGGGTCCCGAACTACTGGAAATGATCTGGAATATTCGATTGGTTATAAAATAATAATAATTAGTGAGATAACGATTAGTTGAGTTGTAATTAAGTTGTTATTAGTAATCAGTAGTGTACAGAGTGTGAATAAATATCAGTAAAAAAATAACTGTTTGGTTTTTCTGGTAAAAGAAAAAGTCGGGTAGGAAACCCATGATAATATAATTCATAAACAGTTCTACGGGATTGTTCTGGATTATCATTATGTCACAGAAATCCGAGAAAAAGGGTCCTCCCCATGCACACATTGTAATGTATTCTAATTGTATAATAGAAATATAAAACATTTATTATTAATTTAGAATTATAAGTCATATTTTATTTTATTATTGTATTTCAGAATAAGGAAAAACACGTAATGATTAGTATAATGTTAGATAAAATCCTATCTTAAACAGTTACATTAAGTCACGTCCGCACAAACATATTATTTGTATACTATCTGTAAGTCCTAATGATTATTTACTCAAATTAGAATAGTTCCGCAAACATCCTCTTCTCCTATGTACTCAGACTGTAAACATATTAATTATTATTGTACATTCATCAATAAGCACTTTCAGGAAGCTGCTTATCAAAGTTATCAAATATTAAACAAAGCCAGAGCTTAAAACCAGTAGGACGAGAGAAGTAGCGACAGTTAGTTCTCAGTTCACAGTTAGTTCTCAGTTTTAGTTAGTCAGTCAATCAATGAGTTAGTCTATATAAACGCAACATTACCAAGTCATCGTTCTCTACTCCATTGTAACTTGAATATCTACGTATAAGCTAGTGTAATATATTAAAATAAATTAGTGCAAAAAAACAACAACAGCTGTGTTTCTTCTGGTATTACGACGAGTAGCCCATTACAAAAATTGGTGTCAGAAGTGTGGGATGATTCATCAGAACTGATTGAAATAGATCAGGATAAATCAAGATTCATTGAAGCCGTCACCTAAGGGAGCAAAACTCGTCACCGTCTGCGAAGAAGCCTTCAAGCCGACGTCTACACCGCCAGCTCAACGAAGTCCCGCAACGACAGCTACCTAGGATTCAACCGACGGTCGAATCTACGAACAAGTAAGGGGGCACAAACCATCGTCGTCGTTGGAGAACCACCTGTCCAGGTTCAACAAAGGATTCCAGCGGGAATGCAGCTAAACCGACTGATTCTAACATTGTAAGTAATGCCACTGTATCCAATTTTTCCTAGTTCTTCCGAAAATAATAAAGCTACTACATCTACAACCACCAAAATGTCTCTAAGTATAGAAATTTGTAAAGATATGCTAATAAAATTCGATGGCAACAAAGCCAGACTCTATGAATTTATTGACAACTGTGATAAAGCAAACGGGAGTCGTAAAGTCAGAACAAAAAGATGTACTTTTTAAATTAATTGAGACAAGTTAACTGATAACGCCAGAGCTATTGTTAGAAATCGTTCTTTCAGTGATTGGTCAGAATTGAAAAAATTTTTACTAGACGCGTATTCTGATAGGAGGACAAGTTCACAATGGCAACTCGAATTAAACTCATGTCGCCAAAACTTTAACAAACCAGTAATCTCACTCAAATCTTGTCGAAAATTGCTACCTAAAATTAGTAAATACCTTAAACCCAACTCTATCAGAAGAAAAACGGGGAGCTCAAGTACATTTACTCAAAGAACAAGCTTTAAATGTTTTTATTTCGGGTTTGACTAGAGATCTGTCTATTTTAGTTAAATCACAGAAACCTAATTCACTCGAAGACGCAATAGCCATAGCTCAGAGCGAAGAACAACAACTAAAGTCAAAAACTGAAACTAGCAAATACCATGATTTTAAATATTGTTCAGTTTGTAATAAACCAGGTCATAACAATTATAATTGTAGATTTAATAATGCCAATAATGTAAAATGTAGAAATGAACTTTCAAACATCAGACATTTTCAAAATAAACCAACACCTATTCCAAA